AAATATTTTTTAATATTTCCAAGTACAGTACTCGTGTCAAAAATATTTCAACACAAAGTTAACACTAAGCAAAATCTAAATATTACCAAAAACTATTACTTAGGATTTGCTTAGTGATTTTTATCTCATCTGTTGGTGAAATTATACACATTCTCTATTGATAATTAAATTTATACCACATCGCGAGAGCATGTGTCTTCTTAGTCAGCAATTTAAATCATCTAAAAACAATGTTTACTGATCAAAAACTTAATTTTCTTATACAAAACCACCACCACTCATTAAGAAAATTTCCCTTGGGTAAAACGGGTAGACCAAGATAATAGCAAAGTCAACATGAAGCCTAACAAAGCATTGCGCAGCGTTGCCGCACTCAAGACAAACACAATTAAATCTAAATGACCCAGCCAGGTCAATTCGAGCAACTTCCTTAATATAATGAGCCGGTTGCAAAACAAACAGAAAGCCCCCGCCAAGTTTGAAGAAAGATTCCCATTATACTTGACAAACTCTTTCATTATCAAAGATTTATGAAGAGTTTCTCTGGGGTTGAAACTTTCAGAAATTCCTCGGTAAAGAAGATTAATTGACTGTTTAAAAAATTTTTGGTTTTGCTGATTTATTTGAATAAATATATGACTTGATGACGTCATTCATTAGTGTTTCATTATTACGAAAACATATTATAGTAAACGATGGTTAACTCAGGTTTTTTAAATGATACGAGTAACTTTCTGTTCTGCTGTCAACTGCTTGCAATTTTCCCATCGTTCTTTCCTACGGTTACTAGATTTTATACGATAGACGTACGTGTTTTAAATTAAACACGCTTTTTACACTCTATTATCAATTTTAATTAGTTTGTAATTTATTACCAAAATTACATGTGAATATGACATTTTTAAGGAACGTAACTGTTTTACAAAGTTTCCAAAATGTGTTCTCAAACTTGAAGTTTTAATGATTCCACGATTTCGGTGATTCAAATTAACGAAAGATAAACACTAAAAGGAAACTATTATATCTTCCGAATTTTAACATACCTGTCTCGAAAGTTTTGGTAAACAGCAAGGGAAGTACGACACAAGTCAGTCAATGTACCGAAGGTAGAACATTCATATTTACACAGGATCTCCGCGGATCCTGCAACCTCCTTTGTTGTACAATCCTGCAGGATCATCCAAGCAGAATAAGGATCCTGAATTAGCTTTCATCTTCTCCGCTGTATCTTATTTGCAGACGCGCCCCTATGTATATTTCCCGTTCATTACAATGTTTCCGCCCTGTTCGCATTCTTCTAACTCGTTAATGATGTTTGTCTCTACCCTCATTTTCTTGGTTGGTAAAACAAGGTATAGGGGTGGTTGATTACGTTGTTTCTGATTGTGTTTTGATTACATTGGGACGTTCTGTGGACAATGACTGATCGAATTATAGCTATAAATGTTTGCAACACGTTTCAAATTAAAACCACAAGACCAATAACTACTACAGAAAGAGATTGATTGCTATGTTTTTATTTCTAAGAGCAAAACTTACCATTGCCGTACTAGCACCTTGAAAATATTATGTCCTATGATTTGCAATCACAGTATTAAATAAACACATAGTGGTTTAAAATTATTCCTACAAATAAAGTAAGTTGTGAGTGCTATTTAATCTAAACTGGATCCAGATGTCATTTATTTGTTTTAGAACTGTCAAATAATGATCCTATCTATGAAAGGGTCTACAATAGTTACTGTAGTAGCAAAACTTCGGTTAGGACCTTCTTTATGAGAAAATTAAAAAAGCCAAATGCGAAAATATACAAAGTCAGTAAATAAATACATTGAAATATTACACATAAAACACTTTCAACTATTTTGAAGCCATGGAGAATTTAAACATGTAATAAAATGTATATTATTATCAAAATTTCAAATAATTTGAATGGAACAATTTCTTAATGTGTTTACGTAATAGTTTTTTTTTAATTTAAAATTCAACAATTTAAAACATTTAATTGTTGAAACAGCTGATTGCCCAGAGGACCTGTCTATCGTCGGCGTTCCACGCTGGCCTTTTAGCTTTAATTGTGTTTGTTTTGAGCTCAGCTAAAGTCAACATTGAACATTCTCGCTGTTGGTTTCCCGTTTGTGTGATCAGCTGTTATCTCGGCCCCCGCCGATAAAACTAATTGAAAATGTTTCTCTTCCTTTCCTCCTGATAACTCGATACAATTTTCACCACAATAGACGAATTGACATTAGCCTATTGTTTAAATTAAATTATGTTATGGTATTAATTAAATATTGTATGCTGAATTCGCTGTTTGCTGTTCTTGACTAGTCCTTAACGTTAATAAGTTAGTTGATCTTTTTGTCTGTAGTTAAGTTCAATAAAGTGTTTTTCTTATTCTTAATTTTAATTCGATTATCAACACAAATAGTAGAAAGAGGCTAATTCAATTAAATAATTTCCTTACATATGTTTAATATGTTCCAAATGATCTTTTTCTTCAATATATCACTTATTTCAACAATGAATTGTTTTTATTTAACTATTATTACGGATTGATGATTTTTTTGACAATTCTATAAGCAAAATCTACACATTGCTTGGGTAAAGATTTGAGCACCATTGTTTGAATAAAATAAATAATTCATTAGGCCTACTCTTTTTTTCTTAGGAAAAAAAGTCCAAATGTCATTGGTAGCATGGATAAACACCAAAAAAGTAAATTTAACATTAAAAAGAGTAAATATCCATTTTATATTTTTGTCCATTAAGATGTTACTTTAACCATGTTAATTCATCACTTATTTTTACTCGAAAACATGTCCTTTAACTCTTAGAAACATCTCCTACAGTATACAGTTAGAAACCATTTAAAGTCAAAACTACTCGTTTATGAAAAACATTTCATACGAATTTACCAACAATTTACTTCTGAGTATAGCAAGGGTTGTTTTCAAACGTAGTTTTATTGTACAGCCCTTGTTGAAGGGAAGTTTCCCTACAACTGTACCAGGGTTTCGACGTCAAACATCAACATGGCGCTTCATCACAGAATGTTGACAAAGACAAGCAAACTTGGCAAGTCATTGTCATATGAGGTACACTCCAAACCTGTCGCTACGGTTAAACTTTGGGCTTAAACACAATATTGATCAGGGGGAAATTAATTTTGGTATCCGTAAAAATAAAATTATAATTGAAAAATAAAATTAGAGGCTTGTACAACGTTTAAGATACGAAGTAGTATAATGTACAATTAATTTATCCCAAAGAAAATCAGAAAGGGTGGATTTATGAGGTCTACTGTTCTGAGTTTTGAATTATGAAATATACAGAATTACTTTATGTGATAGGAATTGGCTGGTGGCTTGAGAACCAATTTGACTTGCGGTGGTTGAATTCAATTTGATATATATATATTTTTTATTTATTTAAGTTAAATTCATCAATTTAACTTAAATAAATAAAAAATATATTTAGAGGCTTATATAAGGTTCATGGTAAAAGTTATATATTGTATTTTTTTTTTACTATAAGAAAAAGGTTGACTTAGGTTTGACTGTTTTGAAGGATGAAATAAACAGTATTACTTTATGATTGAATGTGTGCTGTTTCAAAGATCTCAAAAACATAATTTTCCAAATATGGACAACCATTTATAGTAAATCACAATTTACATAAAATTTGGTTATTTTCTATATTCCGATATTTTAAAAGCACTATACAAGCATAAAACGTGCAAACGAGATTTTGAACCTGATTTTCAATACAAACCCATAGGACATGTAACGATAAACTAGTTATAATAAAACCAACACAATTTACAACCATTATTTTGATAATAATATTTTTTGGACTTTTCCAACGTTTTTTGTGTTTAAAACTACACAATCTTTCTGGGGGTGGGTTCGTTATTTTGTATTGCGGTTATAATTATATTTTATCTATAGCAAAAAAAAAACAAAAAAAAACTCTCATACAGTTTTTTTACGAAATTATAATTTTTTACCCTAACGACAAAGAGTTATGTCACTTTCCTCTCACAAATGTTTTCATAATTTCAACTTCTCAACCGACACAGTCTTGTCTCTTCAAAGTTCCAAAAGTTGCAAAACCCGCCGACAGCGACTTGCATGTGATATCCAATTTAATAAGAGCTGGAATGAAAGTGCTCGCTGCAGACTACGAGCGACGAGCGACTTAGACAATCGCTGAATGCGCCAGACTCATTATGAATGTTAATACAGTTCCTCAGCAAATAGAGGCTTTCAGGACCCGCCTTCGCGAGAGGCAATTCCCAGCTTTTCAATGTAAATAGCTGGCGCGTTGTGGATTTAGTGATCGAAAAGGATACTAGACGATTTCTACGTTAGGAGTAATTTAAAAGAAAATATGTGGTTTAGGGATATTTAAGGAATGTTTCAACATGATATGAGTTAGGTTACATGAGTAGATTCAACCTAAATTAAACCATACACTTAAATTTTTGTTGGTTATCGTAATCACCCTAATGAGTAGAAAAGCGTTTAATTATTCACACAATTGCACATAATATAAATCAATCAGTAAATCATTCTCCTTTCAAAGGTGCTTATAGAGTAGTGTCTATGTGTAATATAGAGTACTGTTTTATATATGCTGCCAACTTAATGTTTGTATGTTGTATCGAGAATGTCGAAAAAGAACTAAATCAAATTGTCATGGTTATTAGGACCTCATACACAGTATTGGAGCTGATTTTTAACTTATTTCAGGTAGTTGCATAGTGCTCGCCTTAAAATCTGGGTCGCTGATTTCATTCTAAGCAATATCGTTACAGACCCAGATTCCATTGGAATACCAATAAAATATGTCATCAAACAAAAGATCGAAACAGTTATTAGGTCAGAGTATAGACGTTCAAAAGTGATGATGAACCCGGTGTAGATAAACACCAAACAAATAAAAAAATAAAATCTTTTATGATTCTTGTCTAATCAATTTATTTCCTATTGTTGCAGGCTATGATCTTCCCCACTACTCCGCCTTCCTCCCTCGTGAGCCGTCGGTCACGCCGCCGTCCTACGCCACCCTCCAGACGCCCTCGGAGTCCCTCAGGGCAGTTCCTCGGCCCAAGTCTCTGGCCATGTGCTACACCAGCACGGGGGCCGCTCTGTCTCTGCCGCCGAAGAAGAAGGACATCTACAGGCCTTACTCCCTGGACGACCGGCCCTCGTTGCCATGGAGACCTGCCGAGGAGGATCTGTCCGCCGCTCATGCTATCCTCGACCTTAGTGCTTCCACGCCTGCACCACTGCCACAAGTACAGGTGCGAATAAGTTTGAGTTCAATATGTTTTATGTCACTTTAATACTCACCACTTGCTGTTGTTGGTATCAATGGCTTAACACCATTTAGCAACATGATAAATGAAATAAGGGTGTAAATGTTATTAATTATTACATGTTCACGCTGTCTTGAACTGAGAAAGAAAGGTTGCTGTATACTGTTAAAATAATGCTTTAAAACATTTATGGGCTTAGGATTGAAACAGCGCTAATTTTATTTACATATGGAGTTAAATGTTTTATCTTCCCAAACACGTAGGCTACGCGCAGTAGTAGCTTTACAGGCTGATAAAATATAGTACACGGATAGTTTAGGCTGGCTGCCTCCATCTTGTAGCACAATCATAACTGGGTACCCATGTCAAAAACCATGGACTTGTTTGACTTGGAATGGATCAAATTCTTAATGGTGTATGTGTTTTTCAGGTAGAAAGCAAGCAGTCACAGGGCAAAACCGTCGCTTACACCTACGAGGCCTTCTTCATCAGCGACGGACGGTCGAAGAGGAAAACGGTGCCAGGAATACTGGAGGACTCGAGGCCGAAGTACACCTGCAGCGAGTGTGGCAAGCAGTATGCCACATCGTCCAACCTGTCGAGGCACAAACAGACACACCGGAGTCTCGACTCTCAGGCGGCCAAGAAGTGCATGACCTGCGGCAAGGCGTACGTGAGCATGCCGGCCCTCGCCATGCACCTGCTGACCCACAAGCTGACCCACGGCTGCGGCATCTGCGGCAAACTCTTCTCCAGACCGTGGCTGCTGCAGGGACATCTCCGGTCACACACGGGGGAGAAGCCGTACGGCTGCGCTCACTGCGGGAAGAGCTTCGCCGACAGATCCAACCTGCGCGCTCACATGCAGACGCACTCACTCGACAAGAACTTCGAGTGTACCAGGTGTCACAAGTCCTTCGCTCTCAAGTCCTACCTCAACAAGCACCTGGAGTCCGCGTGCCTGGGGGATGACGATGTCCTGGGGTCGAACTCCCACAGCTATCCTCCATCCGTCTAGTCCTCGTTGTGGGTAGGAGTCCTCTTCTACTCTTCGGATATCTTCACTAACTATCGACGACACTGTCTTCTATTTTTTAGTTTGTCCTTATCGAAACCGAATTACTTTTCTAGTCAAATCTAGTCACACCGCGATACAGGGAGATCCAAGAGGGAAGGGATTCAGTGGCCTACGCCCTAGTCTCACGTAGCCTTAGTTAGACGCTGTGCACCGTCCACTTTACGTGTCTAGTCAGAGTATCTAAGTCTTAGTTTTAACGAGAATCAAAAGAGCGCTATAGATTTGTACCCGCGTGTTGTTATATCTTGTGTATTATTTCGGTTTCTAGTCGAGCGTACGCATCGTTTCCGTTCATGTTAGATTCGTTAGAGCTATGCGATGAAGCGGTAGTTTTGTAAATGAGTTTTCCGTTTTGCTCGTGTTCGAGTGTGAACAACGCGTTTCTAAACAACGAAGTATTTATCGAAATATACAACGATGTACTAGTCAGTATTTTGTAAGTATCGGTAGACGTAATTGTACATAGGTGCACTTATATATAGTTTCATTGATCCGTTTTGAGGTTATGTTTGTATTTTGAGGGTAACATTTCATCGAAATGACCGTATGACTTTTGATCTCACCCGTAGAGTAGGCAGACCACATTTAAGTTGCCGTTTAGGTGTTAGAGTAGTCATATATGTCGAGTTTATAGTTTCTTTGCAAACCATGCTTGTGAACTCATATTCTCTCTTATTCATATGATGTCAAAGTTTAAATGTAAAATAGTCATCAGTTTGGCAGCGATAAAAGACATGTAAAAAGACACAGATTTTCTGGTTCACCATCAATATTTTTTTTTAAATCTATAAAAACAGACGGACAGAATGTTATTTGCTATGATATTCCTTATTCATTTTAAATTGTGTACTACTGAATTTTACATTAAACTTTACACCCATAATTACTTCAACATATTTTCAAAATTATTAAGCAGGCATGGTATAGTGTTATTTGACTGAGATTTTCGATCCAGTCATTCAGCTAGAGTTCCAAAGATATTTGTAATAAAATGTATGAAACTTTGTTTTACTGTATAATACTTCGTTTTAAGTCATGTAAAGAGTCATGTATATTATACATAAACAAAACGGAATTGAAATCACAATTTACAATTGGTCTAACTTTCAATCTTTATTCTAAAACTCCTCAAAATTTGATAACTTATTATGTTCCCAAACGATAAATATTCGGAAAATCAGAGAAAACAGTAAATGTTCCGATCAGTTTTGTTACTGTAATATATTGTTATTGAAGTTTCCGTTTGCTATTCGTACCATACAGTAACATTCCAAGTTCTAGTCAGGGTCTAGTCCCTTATTTTGTAGTGATAGTGTATATATTCGTGTATAGAACGGCAGGGGAAGGTATTTGTGCAATATGCAGTAGATAGAGTGTGACTTGCGTTCCGTTTGCATTTATCAGTTAAAACATTAAAAAAAAGGTGATTCGCTCTGTTTTTAGGGGTTGCAAATTTTTGCACATTTCGTACAATTTTTTTAGTGACTTGGTAATGTTGTTTCATTAAATTGTATGGTATCACACAGGTATACTTATTCAAACCACACTTCTTTAAACTCACACTTATTTTCTATTGCGTGCAACAATCTTTTTCTAAATGCTTTAGATGTATTTTGTCTTCTCATATATTTAATTACCATCTCCTTTTTACTACTTTCTCACTCAACATGCTTAACAACATAAAATATTTCAAATATATAAATACTGTTGATAAAACAATACATGAATCATAATTCCTTATCAATACTAAGTAACTACATACAATTATTTACACAATCAATCAAATTTCATAACCAACTACTTTCTTTGCACTCCACCCTATTCTTCTTCTTCTCTTCACCCTGTTTTACTCTTTCTCTCTTCTACTGTCGCTTCTTTAATGCTCTAAAGTATACCTTCTAAAACTACCCTATACAGTACAGTAATACTCTATCGCACTCTTCCAACTATCTCTTCTTCCTCTTCTTCTTCTTCTTCTTCTTCTTCTTCTTCTTCTTCTTCTTCTTCTTCACAACTACTATCACCTTTCTTCTGTGTTCTTCTCCCATCTGAATCTGTCCACTTTAACCTTTCCCTGAGGCATTTTTCCTCTGTTTACGCTTGACTGAGGTAAGTAGCCCAGAGCCGGGGGGGAGGGTTTATTGGTTTTGGGGGGGGGGGTCGCCCCATGTTTGCTCTGCGGCGTCAGCAAACATCACCGCTCAGATGTCGTTTGTTGTGCGTGTTTGGACGGGCTTAGAGTGCTAATTGTGAGCAAATATAAGAGCGCAACATCATTAGGCGTGATCCTGTAAGCTCATTAGCAGGACAAAAGACACAACTGTTGTGGTCAGACGAAAAGGATTTCGTCCGCATTCATTGTTGGTAACAGCATTGAATATATAATACTTTATTCATTGGTAAAAGGCAAAATAAACTTGTACAGTATTCAAAGCGGTCAACAAATATGTCTTATTATTGAAGCGTCCACTATAAGTTTTTTTTATATAGTACTATAAATATGGTTGTAGTACTCACCGTAAAATTTATAGGTTGCTGATTCAATTTCAGAGTGGTCAATTTTTTTATAAAAATCTGAAATACGTCAAAAAATTAAACAAAATTTTAAAATTATTGTGTTTCCCTTTTTAAAACGAGTATTTAACAAAGATTGTTTGAAGCTATAGTCACTAGTCCTTCTCAAGTATTGTTCCACCCTTTACAAGAGAAGCGCCAGAACAGCCAGCATTAGCGTATGAATGGGAACACAGAGCGCCATTGTGACTGTAAATCTTGCCGTAGCACCCCCGAACAATAGTGGACGATATTTCATCCCCAAGTATTTTGCAAAGGTAAAAAGCACACGATTCGCAAATCCCGACAATCCAGTAATGGGTTTTAATTCCGGTAATAGTTAAAAACTCCATCTCTCATTCGGACGACAATGAATCCCCCACCCCCTAACGGCTCCTGGGGGAACTAACCCCTGCCAAACAAACAATGTCATTCCAACGTCGGGGATTCGCTTCGTTTACAACATTGCGATGTTCTCTCACTCTCTCTCTATCCCTCTATTTCTCTCTAACTCTTTCTCGCTCTCTCTCTATTTTCTGTCTCTCTATCCTATCGTCCCAATGCATACTCTCATTTGCATGCAAGTCACTACCTACTTTAGAATATGGAACTTTGAAAGTTGATAATTGTGGAAACTTAAAATTGCTATTGTAAAAGGGAGATGGGAAAAACCTACTCTACACCACTGTTTTTAAAGTGTTGTTTCTTCGTACTAAATTATATGCTACATACACTAATATCCCACCATTGGTAATAAAAATACACATAATGGGCACATTTACACTCACCCTCTTTCCCATCTCTTCTCATCTATCTCTTTTCTGTCTCTTTACTAGTCCACTCCTTCACCTGTACTTCTGTATTGTCTTTTCTTCTTCTCTTCACCTTCCACCTACTTTTTACTTCTTATCTCTAACTTCTGTGTCTATCTGTCTTCCATAGTGTACTTTCGTGGTGCTACTATTTTTTCCATTACAAGATTTTTCGCTGACGTACTACTCTATTCTTCTAATTAAATTTATACTGATCCCGTATTACAGAGCGAATCCCAATTGAAACGAGTGGGTTCTAGTCAATGAACATTCCAACTAAGTACTTAATTAGGATAAGAAATTTAGAATAAGATTGTATAAATAGCATAAAGTTGTAATATAGAGCAATAACTGACGAAAGTCATTGTAACTCAGTCATCGATACTTACGTTTACAATTAGAGTGTTAGGGTTGAATTTTTGTAGAAAATAGGTTGAATGTTTCACCAAATACGAAGCAATGTTATGATCACTATTCAGTATTCGAAAGCGGTAATATTTACGTCAATTACCTAAAAAATATTGTGTGCATAAAAAAAGTGCGATCAAGGAATTTGTCTATTTGTTACAGTTTTATTGATATTGTTGAGAAATGTAAAGTTTTATTGTTATTTGTTGGTAACATTGCTTCCGGCGTGTGTGCACGTAGTGAATGACGTAGTGTGTGTAGATGACACTTGGTTTTGTTACTAGTTTTTGTAAACTTGTATTTTGTACATTCATTATTGGCGATAGCGCGGGGTAAGATGACTTTGAGAACGAAAACTAATGAGTGTTTTTTGTAGTAGTTTGTAGGTTTTTATAACGTTTACCAAAAACTTTACCTGGGTTTTAAAATTGTTTTACTACTCAATAATGTGACTAATGTGTTTACAAATTGTTATATTGTCAAGTCAATTGTAAGTTGTAATAGTGTTTTACACTAGATATTATTGGAATGTGTCCAACAGCAATAATGCTATGCATATTTACGATCTTGTATAGTTGTAATACTATTGTACTACTTGGAACATCTGGAGAACAATTGTACTGTACTAGTGTCAATTTCGAGATTTGTTTTGCTTGTTTACTTTTATGGTACCAAAAATTCTAAAATACTTTTACATTTAATCAAAAGCAATATTGTAAGCAATCATGTATGTCGAGTGTTCATAAAAAGCAATATATTTGTGAAAGTTCTTGTTCGAAAGGTGGTTTTATCCTGTAAAAGCCTCGTATTCACAAGCAATAATATTGTAGGAGGGGGAACCCCCGCAATAATGCGTAGAGCAATATATATAATAGTAATATAAACGTAGGTTAAGTTATACCCGTACAAGCTAGATATATATCACTCATTCCCTTTCCATTTTGGATTAAAGAGACATTACCAACTGGGACTTCCTATCTTTCATTCCATTTCAACGAAGAACAAGCATAATGTGATAGTTATTGTTGACGTCTCCTTAATTCAAAGTTTCGCCAGTAGATTTGCTCAAGTTTGTTTGTCACTTAGGCCACGCCCCTCATCCCATCTCACCTATCGTTTTACAAATAGTGATCGAATTTTGTATTATATTATTATATTTTCGTAATAAATAGATTGTAAAATGTGAGAACTCTATTTTCGTGACCTAATTCTCTAATAGTTGTGTTTAGGATATTTGTGGTATTTCTGAGAAAAGGATCAGGATCAGATACAAAAATAGAGTCAATGGACTGATCGAAAGTATTAAGACTATTTTAATGATACTATGAATTCGCAGAAAATATAAATACTGCTATGTGTTTTTGAAAATACATAACAAAGTTCAAAGTAATGTAAGTTTTAACCAATTTATTTTAATAGGTTAGTAAAAAGGAAAACTTCATAAATAGTAAACAACATTAGCGAATACAAATGTAACGTTTATATACTCTGTGAGTAATTTCAAACTACATATTCAGTACTGAAAACATTAATTGATGATAGTATGTGATAATCATTCTACAAAAACCTTACTCAGTTACATGCTCGAGAATCCCCTATACTAGATCGCTTGAGGGATCAAATTAAATAAAACCTCTTTATGAAAGATTATCAAAACACTATAAATTTCATGATGAATTTAAGGGTATAGGATAAGATGCAGCCTGATTAATGGGAACTGTATGGTCTAAAAATGCACTGAGTGACAGCAATCTCCTGATCAACCAAGTTAAACTTCAACTCAACTACTGCTGAAGAGTAAATTACAGCATATGTTCTTTTAATCGCTTGTTGAAAAAAGATGACCATGTAGAAGTATGCTAAAAGTGTGTAGCTTTTTGATGGTCCAAAACTGAGCCCAGCTGTCCTTGATCATTGAGCTTTTTGAAAATCTAAATAAAATAAATGGTCCTGACTAATAAAACAGCTGATCTTAGTCAGTAACAAATATACACAAGGCATCTCATTCCATTCTACATTCATCCTTCACTCATATTTGGGTTAAAATAAGCTCATAGGTGGCGTCCCCTTCTCAAATGAGATGATAATAGTACAAGACTAAGTATATGTCGTGAACAAATTAACACATTTTAAGATTGGATAGATTAAAAACCTGTTTATTACTAATAAGGAATTACGAGTTTCTTTATTGCAATAGTACGTTTACCTCATTTAATATTTATGAATCATCAAGCAGGCCAAAACCTAAATTTGTCAAGCCAAAGTTTTAATTTCAACCCCCGCCCTAAAAAAATCTAGGTTTAAATCAATTTTCACAAAGAATTAAGGCTACTTCTCGAGATGCTAACTCTATGCTGTGAAATAGGACATGTCCCTAAGACAAAACCTCAAACAGCTTGTATCTAAAAACGTAAAACGATTTGATAAAAGACAAGCCTTTGAACGATCTGGCGGCTAAATGTTCCCAGAATGTAAGTAGCTTAGCAGTCTTGATGGTAAATAAGACCATGTCTGCAAACGGAGCCGGGGGAGTCGTGATTCCTCTTTATGACGCCAACTTTTCCCATTCCCCTGCCTTCCCACCCCGACCACCCCATAGTGGCCATTATCGCAACGTTACGGCTCCTGATAAGGCGTACGACTACGATCGTGGCGCCGGGACCACATTACTGCCACTATGTGTGGATCAAACACGGTATATCAACAGGGAGAGGGAGAAGAACAAAGGTGTGTAAACTTGTATCATATTATAGTATGAGCAATGTTTTGCTGGTATGTATGCTAGCACAAAAATCTCGACGGCTTCGACGATTTCCTTCAAATATTGTAAATAGTTTATTCCTGGCCTAAAAACGTGTTTAATGCAGTTAAAACCACCAAAAAATCAAACTAGGCCTACGTGAAAAAATTAAATTGAAAATAAAAATGTTTTAACATTGGCCTCATGGGTTGCCAAGTAACTAAGTTGGTTGAACCAAATGACAAGGGAAAGTAAACAAAAAACTTGTGACAAGCCATCTACAGTATACTAGTATTGCAAAATACAGTACAAAGGGAAAACAATAGTTGTTACTATTGAGCATAGATTACATCTGAAAATAACTCGATATAGGCGTACAATGGAAATAAACTACTGAGCAATGGCTCGGTCCCTACTACCGTCCCTACTAGTAGGTACTGTTTTTACAATACATTTACAAAAGACTGAACCTACACAGTATAACATTTTAAGAATTAATTGTATTTTTACACCAGGAACACAGACACACCAGGAAGTCGAAGGTGATAAAATAATGAGTTTAAATAAATGGCTGATATATTTAAAAATTACTAACATCACCAGACATATGAGCCTGGACTGTTAAAATCCAAAATATTTTGGTAAAGGATGCTTATCAACTTCAAAATATAAACATATAATTAACTTTCTCAATGTAATTGACCATTATTAAACAAATATATCCATAAGTTTGATTCGAAAAATATTGTTAGAATTCCTAACATTACAAAACATCACTAATATCTACAATGTAATGTATTGTAGATATGTGTAATATTAGGAGTTCTAATAATATTTTCCGTTTCAAACTTACGGACATACTTGTATCCGTATTTGGTTCTAAGAATGCAAAAATATATTTAAAATTATTGTATAATGATTTAAAACGTTAAGAAGAAAAATTATAGTCTATTCTTACCTGAATATTCGAATTTCAAAATTGAAAAATGTTAATATTTTATGGCGTTAATTGTTGAGTGAAACTAGGACTATGGGGTATCTAGCGAAGACACATATTTAAAAAAGACAAAAGTAGTGAAATATAATAAAATACCACAAATATTGATTGAAAATGAATTACAGATCTAGATTTATTAAATGTCCTTAAGCATTATTTAAGTTGGTTAAGGCTTAATGATATTTCCCTCTAAAGGTTATGTGCAAAGATATAGATTGACTTCTAATGATAAACAAAGCAGTACTTAAATATTACCTGTTGCTATTAAAGCGCCGAAGAACTTTTTTATTGAACTATTCTCTTCAATACATTATAATACCAACTTTTGTTTTACTTATACATGGAGTTGTGCTTTTAGTCCTCTAAATTACAAAAATATATTAGGTAAAATTTCGTAATAATTTTTCATAATACAATATCCAATTGTAGTTTGTAGGAATTTAAATTTTTTAGCATACTCAGTATACTAAATATGTGAGATATAAACGAAGTAGACAAAATGAAGTAAGCCATCTCGAGTATTTTTTATTTTGTTATTTATAGAAGACCAAATATCAAAGTCTAAGAACAAGTCGTAATCTAAACCCAATTCTCAAATACACATAGACTATACACTTTAACAATAAATGTGCTAAAAGCCATCTACAAACCTAAAATTTCTTTCTGAAATTAATAAAATCGTGTTGAATAGAATTGGGTTATATTGGTTAACAGGTGCAGTTGGAACCGGCAGTGAAATAATTCAGGCTCTCCTTGCTGAATCGATGGCTGGCGTTAGCGCCAACAGTTGGTGGAGGGGGAGGGGGTTGCAGGCCCTACAAACTTTGCTGCTGTAGCCAACGCTGATTTGGAACTACTTCAACTGGAACGAGGACGCACTTAGGCTTGACAATCACAAACTACCAGTCATTGTAGTTCAGCACTAACTGGTTTTGTGGCTTTGTAGTTTAGAACAAAATGTAATTTTTTGTAGAGGGATAAGATATTGAAGCGGCGAAAATGTTAACTTGGTGAAGAGTGTAGAACTTATTTAGTAATAAGTTCAGTTATTAGTATTAAGTTATTATATTGTTAAACATGTACCTAGTTTAATAAAAGTTAGGAATATTGAGATGATTTTAAAAAGTTTTGATATGCAATTCAGATGTATAAATAGGCCTATTATTGGTCATTATTAGCCTATTTGATTCCTTGCAATATTCATAAATTTTAAATTGATTATATCTAAATTTATTAAATGCTGTTAAAAGTGTTCACTGTATCAAACGTGATTTCACATGTCCAAAGTACGTACAATTTAAAAATAAATTAACCAACATATTACAATAAATCTTTAGCCATAAAAAGACAGCATTCTACAGCATTCTATTGTTGTAGTAATTAATAAATTTAAAAATTCATTTAAAGTAATTAAATGTTATTTAGCAGCAGTAAATCAATTTTCAGTTGTTGTTGTGAATTCCTAAAATATTAGTGATATCGAGTCTGAAAGGGTTTCTGAAATCTGTTTCATATTTCAAGGGATTTATCAATAATTTTGAAAAATCATGGAAAATAATACTGATGATCAGAAAAAGGTATTTGCCAACCCTCAACTATAGGTTATTTTGAATTGGGAATGGATTTATTATTCTAAGGGGACATGAATTAAAACCAAACTGGAGTTAATTGTTGTATTTAATTTCTACAAAAACTACCCTAGCTGGCCCTAAGTTTTAATATATTATTTTCTTTATTTTTGCATAATATGAAAGACTAGTTGCTATGCCCGTGCTTCACTAAGGGTTGAGAATGAAGAAAAGAATAATTCGGGGTTTTAAACCTACTTTAAGAAACAGTTACAACACACTTACCATGAAACATATATGCAAAGCTCAATTGTACGTATAATTAATTAAATGCATATTTCTTATTGTTTTGCCATCACTTTATATAGTGTATTGCAATACATGCAAAGGTGTAATTCATTGACCACATGGCACCAAGAAACAAATCTTCATAATAAAAAAAATTAATTGAATAGCAGAACGAAGCATAACAGCTGGAATAGTAAATTTTCTTCATAAGAAATACATTGGGATTTTGATGGTCTGTGGGGCAATGACCGAGGACTTTTATTACAGGAATCGGTGAAAGGGGCGTCTACACAAAAAAATCTTTATTTTGATACCTCGTTTGTAAACATCCGTCCATTATTAATGGAGGAGTAGTGTTTCGTAGAAATCGCCTTCACGTATTATATATAAGGATTCAGACAGAATAAAACTAAAACATAACAAAAGGACCATTAAATATACTGTTCCTAACATTAGTACATACCATTAGGATTCAAAATATGACCAATTTTCATCACAACAAAGCCAAACAGCTGTCAAAAAATTTGTACCAAAAGTTAAATCTATTTTAATATTACGATACCTCACGTAAAATATTCAGGTGAGCTGAGAACAATCCGTAAACAAGCTCAGAGCGCTATAATCCCCTTAAGCCTCTTTATTTTATCGTGTCGTTATCATTGCGAGCGTGTCGGTCGTGCCTGGAGGACGTAATCACTCTTTTGTGCGTTTAGCTGCAGTACATTAATAAGTTTGGCTCTTAAGTGACATAAAATCATCTAACGCAGAAGAATTTTGATTTCTCGTATAGCTTTAACAAAAGATGACTATAGAATTGAGAACTATTCAAAATTTTCTTGGGCTGTATTAGAGCCAGGGTTTTTAACAATTAATTGATGGGTACTTAGAAAAAGAGGAAGAAATCCGTTATTTGTTTATATAATAACATATATGGTCTGCATGCAAAGTATATAGCATTATCGAATATGGGTACTTTCCAGTTAAAGGGAACATTCATTATTATCGATGATTTATTTTCGATACATCGATATTTTTGTTTTACTTCACAATTGGTATTCCTTCTGTTTTAATATCTTCAAACGCATTTAAATTACAAATTGAGAACTAATCTTGTTTAGGCAAAAATAATAGCCTATATTGGATTAGGACATGAAACTATTCTAAACTAACCTAACATAACTAACCAAACTTGCTGTATAGGCTAAGTTACCGTTTTAAATTCCATTTGATAACAGAAAAGGCATATGGGGAATAGGGTATCAAACGGAATTATTTTGAAATGTTACAGCAAGTTTGGTTGGTTGGGTTAGTTTAGAACAGTTTAATTTCAATATAATATTTTTTTAAGTTGTTTGTTGATACTGAACAATATTTATTTACTGTATCCTATATCGTACTTGTCAGCTGATATGTTTCAATTTGTTACTATTAATATATCGGATGGAAAACAAAAATATCGATATATCGAAAGGAAATCATCGATAATAATGAATGTTCCCTTTAACAGGAAAGTACCCGAATATGTATACCCCTGATTCGATCATACAAAGATAGTAGGAGCTGTAAAATGTAACAGTTTTTACCATTGACAATTACGTTTTACTGAGGGATAAACAAAACAATTTAAAAAATCTGTTGATGAAAATATGTGAGTCTTTCAAACGTAAAGTGATTCTGCTAAAAAAAATATTGAACATAGAAATTTTTTTAATTGAAATTTTATTTTCATACGATTAAAATTACGTGCTCAATTAATTTGTACTCAGTTCAAAAACAGCGACTATACAACAGTCAGGAGTGTAAGTAACCAAAACTTTATTTCGTTTGCACATTTCAGAAATCAGTTAGATTACAAATACTTGATTAGAGTAGCTAAAAGACCAAAATCTGAATCTTAAAAACTCGAAAAAACTTTGAACGAATTTCACAAATAGATACCTAATTAGAATAGTATTTAATCGCAATAATCCAACAAACTACTTAGAAAAATTACACGTCTTAAAAGTTACAGATGATTTCCAACGGATAATTTATACTAAGAAGTGACAAATACGGCACAACAAATACCACAAATACCGGTAGTGGGTTTATATGATTTCGTCACAATTAAAATGTACCTTCCGTTCATTAAAGT